GGTGGTGGTGGGGCGGGGGTTCGGTAAGCAAGCGAAGGGAAGGGATTTCGGGCGAGGGGTAATGGGGTTAATTATTTGAAGGAGTTGTTGGTCCAAAGAAAGAAACAAGAGAGGGAGGGGGTTTTAGCGGCGGCCGAGACCACACAGAGGGATTGCCGGCGGATCTTTCGCCTGGAAAACAGAGGAGAAGGCGGGAGGTTTCGTCGACCGGTTTGAACAGTTGGGGAAGGGGGTCCGGAGGGGCTGATCAGAGAGCAGAGCTTCGTTTCGGGGTGGTCTCGAATCAGTCGATTCGTTGCGTTTTTGAGGAGGTCGGAGGGGGCTGATCAGATGGTGTTTGGATCGAAAAAAAACAGAGAGAAGTGGTTGGGGGTTCGTTACGGGGCCATTTCTGCATCGCAAACACAGGGGAGAACGCGATTGGAGCAACGGCTTAGAGGGAGATGGACGCGGGCAAGGGAAAGGGGAAGGGGACGGCAGACAGGAAAGGGGGGGAACGGCCGGCGGCTAGGGTTAGCTCTGATACCAAGTTGAAATATATGAAGAAACCCCTAATATTATTAATGAAATAACATGGGCTTATATAGGCCCCTACAAATACATCTTACAAATAACCCCTTAACTATTCTAATATGTCAACAGTAAATAATGATGCCAACTACTCGTTCGTTTGTAGGTTATACTTTTGAAGTAGAGAATCCCGCTCCTTCTGAAAATTAGGCGTCAATTTACATTTGTAAATTAATTCATTAAATTCTGCATGAAACTTATCATATGCCATACACAACAATAGTTTTTCTGGAATTTTTTTTCATTATGTGCCACATGCATAGCCTATGTGTTCATTGAGGAAACACCTTTGATATTGCTGCAACAATAGCTCTATCCTAACCAGTTATGATGATTCCTGGTCGAGGCCCATGCATTGCTTGCAACCATGAAGTGAATAACCAAGTAAGCTTTCTTCAGTCTCATTAGCTATCAATGACCTTCCAAGTAATATTGGTTGTCTCTGATGATTCACTCCTGCAAATGGAGCGAATGGCAAGGAGGATCCATTTGTCTTGTATGTAGCATCAAGAACTACAACCTCACTGAAGTAACCATATGACATTCTAGCTTTTGCATCTATCCATAAAATATGACTTAATCTATTTTCATCATCCACTTTGTAAACAAAGAAAAATGTTGCGGAGTTTTTCTACAGCTCCTTAAAGTGGTCGAGAACAAATTGGGGGATCAACCTCTCGTTCATCATGTAATTTTTCACCATTTGTGAATCAACATTGGCTCCACCAGATTGCTCTTTCAGTAAAGCTGATACGTTACTTGGTTTCATACCACTATCTTGATAAAAATATATCATTTTTTAAATTGTCTCGTGTAAACTTTTGTGACCTGATCTTTCCTACCTTTGATGGTGTATGTTATAAGTGAAAAATGATCAGAGAGTCTGCCTCTTTCATTCATTAACATGAATTTATATAGGAGTACATATGGGTAATAGGCTAATGGGTTAATGGGCCCTGACCCGAAAACCCAAATACTAATTCTAACACTTCTCCTAAAGCTGGAGCATATATATCAACCATGCCCAGCTTGTTATATAGAATGGAAAACACCTTAGGTGATGTAGTTTTAGTGAGAATGTCAGCTAACTATTCTGAAGATGGAGTGAACTGAAGAGAGATCACTTTCTTTTCCCAAGCATCTCTAACAAAATTATAATCAACTTCAATGTGCTTAGTTCTCTCATGAAATATTGTATTCTTTGCAATATTGATAGCGGACTGGTTATCACAATGCATGGACATAGGTCCAGGCTGAGTAAAACTAAGCTCTGTCAACAGCTTCTACAACCATATCATCTCACATGCAGTGTGAGCCATAGCTCTGTATTCTGCATCTGCACTAGATCGAGAAACATCTTGTTTCTTGCTCCTCCAAGTAACCAGATTTCCTCTAATAAAGGTGCAAAATCCAGAAATAGACTTCCTATCTCCTATGTCTCCCACATACCCAGCATCAGAAAAGGCAGAGATGTGTAAATGTCCATGTTTCTTATACAATAATCCTTTTCCAAGACAGCTTTTAACATAAGCTAAAATCCTCAGAGCAGCAGTCCAGTGAACTCTCTGTGTGTGCGCGCATGTGTGCGTGTGAGAGAGAGTAGAGTTAGAATACACATGGGGTGTAACTAACTTTGTTACGCGTGCACGCACACACATTCACACCTATAAAAGTGCACTTTTACCTACCAATATTAATGATCCACACTGTTCATTGTTATCAACATGTCATCAAGTGTAAGTGGATAAAAATCATGTGGTAATTTTCTATCCTATAATTCAAGCAATTCAAAATAACCGACATCTTAGACCGTTATAAATTGCTCATTTCTAGAAATATTGACGCTGTGATTTTTATATCTCCATGTAGTTTTGAGTGCATAAATCACAATGTTAGTTACACCATATGTGTATTGTAACACACACATATATACATATACATGTGTGTGTTTTCCTAAGGTGACACTTTAGGTTTAATATAAGGAAGCACCTCTTAATGTATGGATTAGAGTATTTTGACGGATTATCTGCTCTGTTCATATGATCTAAATATCTCAAACCATCTATAAAACAAAATCATAATATTTCAATACTTCCGTCACATATTTTCCATTGTCTCTTTAGTTTTATTCTTGTAAAACCATTAATTTTACAATCACTTGATGCATAAGTAACTATAACACGATTTACCTAATTTTTTGTTATATACAATTCAAAACATATAAATCGAAATGAACGGAGTGGGTCAAATAAATTGATTCCATATAACGTAGTTTCGGGGGGAGAGAGAGAGAGAGATGAGTTACTATCCATTTAAGTGGATAGGAGCATTTGTCCACCCAATTTTATACCCGTTGGATAAGTTTGATAGATTAAGATCAAACTAGATGATGTGTCATGTATTAATTAGAGGATAGCAAGGGGAAAAAAGGCTGATAGAAAAAGGGGAAAAAAGGCTGATAGAAAAAATAAAGAAGGCTGAAGGCTGAAGGAAAATTGTCATGCTGTCCGTCCCTACTCTGGGAAGTCAAGTACACACTTATTTCTTTCATCTTAACCGCGGAAAAGATGAAGCAAGTGGTAAAGATCTCCATGTTTTCCTTCTATTTTTCTTCTTTTTGTGTTTAATTTTTTTCCTATAGTGCCCTCTAATTAATACATGCCACATCATCTAGTGAGATTTTAATATATCAACCTGATTCAATGGCTATAAAATTATATGGACGAGTGTTCCACTTAAGTTAAGTGGATATGAGCCCTTGTCCATCCAACTTTTTAACAGTTGGATGGACTTATGATCAAAATAAGATATGATGAGTTGGCAACTCATAATTGGAGGTAGGAAAATATATAGTAAAACAACTATCTTAAGGGGTTGTTTGTTTGCTAAAAAAAAAGAGAAATGGGGCTTTTGAAATCTAACAACAGGGCCACGTCAATTTTTATTTCTACTCATTTCCATTTCCAACGTTTGGTTCGTTGAGTGATTTAAAGAAATGGAGGTGTGAAATGTGCTGCCACGTCAGAATGTGTAGAAAACTCATTTCAGACCCAAAGTGAGTGAAAATGGGTGAGAAATGTATTTAATGAGTAATAAAATATTGTCTCACTCATCTTTTCGAGACCCGAAGTGACTAAAGTGGCTGAAATGAGACAGATTTCTTGATTTTTGGATGTTGAAACAAATCCAAGAAATGGAAAACAATGCTTTTCAGCCTATGATTTAATGGTGAAACAAACCAAATAAATCAAATATGAGAAACCCTCTTAAATGTTCTGAAATGGTTTTCATTATGGTTTTGTGTTTTCTTTTTTTTTATGGCAATGTACCAAACAGGCTCTAAAAGGAAATAGAAAAGATCCTTTTCTTGTTTTCTCCTTTCCTCATAAACAGCTGGCATCCCTCCTCCTTGTCCTCAAGCGACCCCTCCCCTCCTCTGCAATCATGGCGAGCACCACCCCTTCTCCTTGCCTTTAAAAAAATGGAACAAACACGTTATGAGGATGTTAGAATAATGGATCGGGACCTGTTTGTTCGATTATCAAAATCTCTAACAATAATAATCTATACATCTTGAATTTTTTATAGTTCCAAAGATTAAAGGCTCTTTATTCTGATTTTACACTTTTTCCTGAATGAATGCTAAAATTTAAGTAAATATGTGAACTGTGCAGCTCACGTTTTATTACTTATGGTTTTCCCCTAAAAGCACCATTGATTCACATTATTTTTCTATATTACCCAGAACTTAAAAACAACACTTAGATTCAGATTGGCTTTCTTGTTGATCCAAAGCACATCAATATTAGCAAAGAACAAGGTGGATAGGAAGGCACTAGCTGTGAAGCACCATACTGTGATACTGCGTTCGTGGTTAGCAAGAGGAGCTCGCTATATTGTCCTCCCTTCAATTAGGGCTCATATCCACTTAAGTGGATTGTAGCTGCTGGCTCACTCTCTCTCTATCTCCTCTCTCGTTCTCTCTCTCGTCTCTCTCTCGTCTCGTTTCTGCTCTCTCTCTCTCTTCCTCTCTCTCTTCTCTCTCTCTCTCTTCTCTCTGCTCTATATATATATATATAATATATATATATATATATTATAATATATATATAATATACCACTAACCCCTCCCGCCCAGAAAACATGTCTGTACGTATGTAGGTAGGTACGTACGTACGTACATATGTATCTATGTATATATGTGTGTGTACTACATGTGTGTGTGTGTGTGTCGCAACCAAATAAGGTAGCTAATCAACGGCACATGGCTTAAATCCATGGCCAGCAATATTCGAACTAGGGTTGGCTCTGGTACCATGTGAAAGTCTCTCAAACCATTATATCAAAACTCCAAAATTATGATAAGACTTGTGGATTATAGTTTCATATTCTAAGTACTTTTTATTGATGTTGACTGTTTGTTTTAATAGCCAGAACGTATAAGTGGAAACAGACATGGCTATTCAAGTGATATTTGGAGCTTGGGTTTAGTTATGCTGGAATGTGCAACCGGTCAGTTCCCATATCCTCCTGTCGATAGCTTTTATGAACTTTTGGAAGCAGTTGTTGATCAGCCAGCACCTCGAGCCCCTTCGGACCAGTTCTCGGAGGAGTTCTGCTCATTTATCTCCACATGGTAAATATGGATATAAATCATATTTATTTGATTAATTGGACATAAACGCCTTGTACTATTGAGGGTTTAGGCACTTGTACCCTCCGAAATATTTTTATTAACACTTACATCTCATCTCAGAAGGTGTTACTTTTTTTGGCCATCAATTAAGATGGTAATCTAGTATTCTTTCCAATTAAACTGATGACAAAAAAGACAGTTTATCATCACGTGATTCCCTCTTGGTACTGTAGCCTAACAGGAGAAATAATGTCTTCTGAGTTTCTAGGGACTAAGTGCTAATAAAGTAGTTTGGGGTTATTAGTGACTTTATACCCATAGTATCAGGAGCCTATATGCAATTATCCCCATATTATTTCCTTTAAATGATTCAACGTTTCTTCTTTGCCTTTAATATAACAAAACTACGTCAACGATTCACCTTTTTCTGTAAATTAAAAGTTAAATTACGATTGTATGTATCCAATGTTCATGGCATGAAAAGCTTAATTTTTTTTAAATATGTAAGTTTGATAGATCTGTTGATCAGATTTGTGTTGGAACTAAATTATCATGTTTTTACTAATCATTAACCAAGGTGGCAGCAAATTTATTCAGGGCATTTTGAATTTTTAAAGATTTTTCACAGCACCACAATTTGAATGAGTGATTCATAAAAGTAACAAGGATGCTATGGAAGAAGTACATAAGTAATAACCAATTACATAGGTGAGCAATGAAAGAGAGGAAAATGAAACTATTTCCATTATGCTTGCATAGCTCTCACTCACTCATTCTTTTTCAAAACATCTGTAGCTAATAGTGCATTATTCTTTAGGGTTAATTGTAGATAGACCCTCTGTAGTTCTATTGTTGCAGATAGACCCCTAAATGAACTTCTTTGACCCTTTTACCCTCAGAGGACCTTCTGAGGGTAAAAGAGTCAAAAAAAATCACACAGGAGATCTATCTGCAATTTGGCAATAAGACAGGGGATCTATTCGCAAAAATAGAACTATAGGGGGTCTATCCGCTATTGGGCAATAGTGTATGGGTCTATCCTTAGTTAACCATGTTCTTTATTCTTTTTACAGTAACCTTTTTTTTCACTGTCACATCTCCCCCTATCTAGGGATAATGCTATAGGACTTCTCTGCCATATCAATAGCTGAAATGTTGTAGTAATCACAGACTTAGATTTTTTTTAAGCTATCATAATTACTTTGCTAACATCTTTCATTTACTTGATTCCGCAGCATACAGAAATTTTTTTGGTCAATGAAAAGATTTTATTCATTCACCAAATAGAGAGTTTTATGTACATCAAGAATCTCATTTTAACATATGAGACATCAAAACTGAAACAAAGCTCTAAAGCATTACCTCTACATATAGAACTTTACAAAGAGAGTAATCATTCTCTATTTTCATCTAATAAAGGCATATTTAGATTTGTAGACAATATATCCATCTTAATATCCTTTACCAAATGATCCAAACTTCTTCATTTTTGTTGAAAACAGCATACAGAAATTACTTTGCTAACATCTTTCATTTACTTGATTCCGCAGCATACAGAAGAAGCCAGAGGATAGACATTCGGCACTGTTACTCTTGGTAAGAACAGAAAACATTACACATACTGTTTACTATCTCCATTATGCAACAGGGCACCGTCTCTCTTGTTTCTAGTCAGGTAATTTTCATCATTTTGTTCAGGAACATCCATTCTTGCACATGTACGATGATCTCCATGTCGATCTCTCATCATATTTCACTGTTGCTCGTGCTCCGTTGGCTACTTTCTGAGTAATGTTGGTACATCTAGTTCAAGTTAGAAATGTATACCCTCAAGATTCTATTCAACAAGTTCAAGTTCACTTGTGTACGTGTGACTGAACTATCCATTCATTTTATGGCAACAAACAAGGACTTCATCCTAAAGTTTTGATATTGTCTATATAATCTGTCTTTTTTTCCTTTTTTAATATTATCATTCCTGATATTCAGCTCTATCGACATGATAATATACCAAGTATGTCCTTCATTCATTCTTTTTTATTCTACTAGTCGTTATTTCTTCAACAATATGAAGAGTACATTCACGTCGGAGGACTAACTTCTAATCGCTAGATATTTGTCTTTGCCTCAAAAATAATCCTCAAACTTGAGCATAAGTTTGGAGCTTGGCATGGTGAAAGAGATTCAATATCAGCACAATTCAAATCTCACCAACACGTTCAAAGAGGATTCCAAAATTATATCCTTACATGAGCCTAGGTTTTGTCACGTGATAAGGTCAAAACAACTTGCAAAGGCATGTTGACCACAACTGAGTTTTGTAGCCAGATCTACTGTACAATATTCTAAGCATTCTACGGCTAACCCAGTTGTATGTATGATCTTCTTATCTCTCTTTATTGATAGAAGATTGACTTTCAGAAGGTAACAGTGTTGCGAAAACGAAAAGAGTAGGACGCATAATGCATATTTATTTAATGCTATTACTCCATTTCATGCTTAGGGGATACTTCAACATGACCATTCACTATAATTATCATCTAATTTCCTTTACATCTTAAAATGATAGATCTAAAAAATGATCAATTATAAAACACTACTTAATATTTGGAATGTTATAGCAGTAGCCCGATTTCAAGTCTTCGACATGAAAAGAGTAATCAGATCTTCATTATGAATTCTCAAACCACTTTGTTCATGTTTCGTTAGGACCTTTTAACTTCCACCTGAAACTCTCTAAGGGGGGTTAGTCACCTAGAACTTAAAATTAGAACTGGGGTAATCTGTGGGATAAAATTTTAAGGTGTTAGTCACATAGAACTAAACCTAGAACAAAATTTTAAGGTGTTAGTCACATAAAACTAAAACTAGAATAAAATTTTACAGTGTTAGTCAAGCAGAACTTTAACAAAACTAGAATTGGGATAATTGTACAAAATTATCCCACTTTTTTTATTTTTCTATACAAAAATGAGAGTTCTAGTCTCTCAAATTATTCCAAGTTTTAGCTTGGAACTATGTGGTAAAAAACTAAAACTCGTATTTATTTTGTTATTTTTTATTTTTTTCTTTACTTATTTCCTATTATGATTATCACCATCATTAAACCATCATCATAATAATAATTATCAATATCTTATAGTCTAACCAAAAGTTATTTAATAGTAACAAACATTCTTGTAAGCAATTATTAATTAATAATAGTAAGTTTAAAATACATAAATAGTATTTATATTTATATCTTCAAAATGCATAAATATATACTTCATGATTATAAAAATTTATCCCACGTTATTTTATCAAAATATCCTGCTTTACAAAATTGTTCCTAGTTATCCCACTAAAATATCCCACTAGTGAAATATTATTCCACTTTAACAATTATCCCATTTTGCATGAAAATTATCCCAGATACACAGCACAAAAACAAAAAAGAAGAAAACTTCCATCAAGACCATCACCCAATTTACTTCATATCAAACTAATAAGCGAGAAAATAAATTACTTCAACTACACATTCCACAAACCTAATTTAAAATTAACATAATACAATTCTAATGCCAAAAAAAAAATTTCATAAACTTTCATCTATCCACCATTTCTCAATCTCAACTCCGGCCCTTTCTCTTCTTGGAGTCCTCCCTCGCCACAATCTTAAACTTCCCCGTCAATTGTTGCTGCATCAAAGGAAATAAAAATAAAAATAGAAACAGACCAAAATGTCAACTAAATGAATCAAAAGATTTATGTTAATTGCAGATACTCCCTTTAGACTATTCTATTGTAGTTCTCATATGCTCTGAATTTTAGACATCATTTTTCCGTCTAAACGGAAAGGTATAGTAACTCAAATTTTTGTCCTCGATTTAGTGAGGAATTTAATTTCTTTTCAAGTTAATTTATGGAGCAAAGTAATAACATATTGTCAAATGATCCCCTGCGACATACAAGAAAAATAATTCTGTACGGCGTTTAGAGCATCTCCAACCATAAAACCCAAAATAGTGTAGTTTTTACACCTAGTTGATGTAGTTTTTACACCAAATCATTATTCCATCTCCAACCCATTACACCAAATGTTACACCAAAAAGAATATTCCTTTTATTATTCTTATCTTTTAACATTTTTATCTATTTAAAATATTCCTTCTATTGTTGAATTTTATTTTAATAATTATTTTATACTCTAATTTCATTATAATAGTTAATATAAAATAACATATATTATTAATACAAATATAAATAACAAAAGAAAAAAAAAGTTTTTCTGTATTTCTTCTTATAAAAAACCTTCCATTTCAAGTTTTTACAAAAAAAAATATAATAATAATAATGCGCCATCGCTACACCATTTCTGGCGCAACACTGTAGCGGCCCGCTATTTTAGCAGAGCCGATGCCGCTCGGTTGGAGTGAGGACCGGACGCTAACTTGGTGTTTTAGCGTCCGGTTGGAGAAGCCCTTAGAGAGTACAATGGTATAGAACACAAAATATCAAGAAAATCAATTAAAATTTGAGTTAACTGCAAATACAAGCTCTAAATTATTTTCCTTACTGGAATTTATATTCTCGGCCTGTTTGTTTCGCAAAAAAATACAGAAAGTGGGGAAAAGTGGGGGAAAAGAAAATATTTTTTGACGTTTTCCTCCACTTTCAGAGGTTTGGTTCGTCAAAGCTATAAAAGAAAATAGAGGAAAGTATGAGTTGTCACTATATTATTGGTTGATGTGAGTAATTTTTGATGTTTTCCTCCACTTTCCTTGTTTAGATTTTTTTCTTGTGTTTGGTTCATTCTTAAAAGTTGGGGAAAATTGACGTTTTCCTCCACTTTCAGAGGTTTGGTTCGTCAAAGCTATAAAAGAAAATAGAGGAAAGTATGAGTTGTCACTATATTATTGGTTGATGTGAGTAATTTTTGATGTTTTCCTCCACTTTCATTGTTTAGATTTTTTTTTGTTTGGTTCATTCTTAAAAGTTGGGGAAAAAAAATAAGATGAGATGAGATGAGATGTGTTGTCACCATATTATTGGATGATGAGATGAGATGAGTTTTCCTCCACTATCCTTGTTTTTTTGGAGGAAAGTGATGGAAGAAAATTTTAATGAGATGTGATGAGTTGTCACCATATTATTAGATGATGTAAGTAATTTTTAAAGATGATAGAAAACAAAGAAAAGTGGGGGGAAAGTGAGTTAGATGAGTTGATTGATGTGACTCATTTCTTGTGTTTTGTTTATTTTTAAAAGTATGAAATAAGATGTGGTAGGATGAGTTGTAACGATATTATTGGAGGAAAGTGGAGAAAGTAAAGAAATGTGGGTTTTGGAAAGTGGGGGAAAGTGAAAAAGTAAAGGAAAATGGGTTTTGGATTCTAGGGGAAACGAAACAAACAAGCCCTAAATCTTTAAAGAACATTTTTCTTCAAAAAAAAAACAAGGCATCAAGTAAGAACCGTGTGACAACAAATTACCCTTGTCGCCTTCTACATAAAAAAAAAGTGCATCCAATCTTTTTAACTAAACCAAGTAAAATTCTTGCATGGAATCAAGTGTGCACTAAAGTCACTCTTCCCATAAATTCAGAATAGAGAAATTTTTCAAAACAACCCCAAAAAGTTTTTTATTTTTCAAAATCAACCTATTTTTTTTCAAAATCAACCCATTTTTTGCCACGTGAGCTTAATGACATTCCTAAACAGTCGGGGTTGCCAACCCCGACTGTTTAGGACATCAAAATTTTAAGTTTAAATGTTCTAATTAGGGTTTAACACTCTCTTAAACAGTCGGGGTTGCCAACACAGACTGTTTAGGAACTTCATTAAACCCACGTAATAAAAAATAGGTCGATTTTGATAAATAAATAAAAATTCAGTCGATTTTAAAAAATAAAAATCTTTTTGGGGCTGTTTTAAAATTTTGTTCATTCAGAATATAATTTATCATCAACCTTCTTTGAAAGCATTAATATAATATAAAAGTTTTCAACAAATAACATGTCAAGTTGGATTAAATTATGTAGCTTCGCCATACTTCAAAGCAGAGTAACACGGATCTATGGCCGTTTGGGGTTTACAAGCGATGCGCGTATTCAAAAATAATAAATCACGAGTATGAGAATGGATTTGTAATAATAATAATAATAATAATAATAATAATAATAATAATAATCTATTAATTTTTTCAAGATTATATTTATAACAAATAATAGTTTTAAATTGTTTACTGCAGTCGATTTTTCATAATGTAGTGGTTGGAGTTATGGTTAGGTGACTTGGTTATTAGCTCTTAGGTCATGGGTTTGAATCCTTTACCCTTCATTTTTTTTTACAAAAGCTATTTGTGTGTTTTGAACTCAAACTCGATCCAGTTAGGATCCAATATCAAATTTCAGACTCGTTTAGGGTTATAATTCAAATTACAGACACATTTGACCTAGTTAGGATCCAATATCAAATTTAAGACCCGTTCGGTTTGGGTTTATAATTCAAATTACAGACCCGTTTGAGCCAGTTAGGATCCATTATCAAATTCCATAGCCGTTTGGATCTATAAATGGGGTGATCCATTAATTGATGGGTTTAGAGAGAGAGAGAGGGAGAGGGTAATAAGGAGGCGGGGAAGAATTAATGAGAGGGGTGGGGGAGAGAGAGAGGGCGGGAGAGGGAAATGGGGTGATCCATTAATTGATGGGTTTAGAGAGAGAGAGAGGGAGAGGGTAATAAGGAGGCGGGGAAGAATTAATGAGAGGGGTGGGGGAGAGAGAGAGGGCGGGAGAGGGAAAAGAGCGGGGGGGAACTTTCGGGGTTCGATTTGTGTTTTGACGGATTTCAAATGTTCTCTCTTTAAATTTTGGAGGGGTTTTTTGGTTTAGATCTGAATTTTTGTTGTTTTTAAAGTAATTTGAATGTTTTAGTTTTTATTTTGGAGGGGAGGCGTGGATTTGAGTTTCCCTCTTTGGGTTTTTCAAAGACACGTGGGAACTATTTGG